CTTGCTTTAAGATGGGTGGACTTCCACTTCCAGAATCCCCCAGCCAACTTGCTTTAAGATGGGTGGACTTCCACTCCCAGAATCCCCCAGCCAACTTGCTTTAAGATGGGTGGACTTTCACTCCCAGAATCCCCCAGCCAACTTGCTTTAAGATGGGTGGACTTCCACTCCCAGAATCCCCCAGCCAACTTGCTTTAAGATGGGTGGACTTCCACTCCCAGAATCCCCCAGTCATCATGCTTTAAGATGGGTGGACTTCCACTCCCAGAATCCCCCAGCCAACTTGCTTTAAGAAGGGTGGACTTCCACTCCCAGAATTCCCCAGCCAGCATCTTTAAGATGGGTGGACTTCCATTCCCAGAATTCCCCAGTGAACTTGCTTTAAGATGGGTGGACTTCCACTCCCAGAATTCCCCAGCCAGGGTGTTGAAGTCCATAAGTCTTAAAGTTGCCAAGGTTGGAGATCCCTGCTATAAATCTTTCTCTCCCTCCCTGTAGGGCGCAGATCCCCACGTCCTTGCTAAGCAGCGAGAGAGTGCCTTGTCCCTCGCCAGCACAGGAGGATACACGGGCATTGTCACTTTGCTGTTGGAGAAGGCCGTGGACATCAACACCTATGATTGGGTAACTGTCTGTGGCGCTGAGGGAGGAGAGCTGAAGTGCCCCAGTAAGATAGAATGATTGAAGGGGTCAAAAAGCCACAGGGGCATCCCATAGGGCCAGCTCTGTTCAGTCCCACCATGAATCATTCACAAAAGCTCTTCGTGGTTTGGATACCCTTCTCCAGGTTTGAACCTGGATGGAAGACTGTTGAGATAATCTGCTTCCTCTTCAGTTCTTTCTGGTTGCAAGTCCGCCATTTTTTCAGCAACCTTCTCTAAAATGGGGATATGACAGATAGGATGGGGGTTGTCTAAATTTCTGCCTTTTTTGTCTCTTTCCCTTAGAGCAGTGGTTCCCAAACTTGGCAACTTTAAGACTTGTGGACTTCAACTCCCAGAATTCTCCAGGCAGTTCTGCTGGCTGGAGAATTCTGGGAGTTGAAGTCCACAAGTCTTAAAGTTGCCAAGTTTGGGAACCACTGCCTTAGAGGATTAGGTTTTGGACAATGTCCTGGAGTTTGCATTCTTTTGGGGCCAGCCTCATTGATGGGGGCTTGTAATTTAACCCAGAATTGCTGTGGTGTTATTTTGCATTAAAACTGCCCTTTTTCTCAGCCCAATCTGGACAGGTTCTTTAAATTGACCTGATCAGGAATGTCGTATAAGCCCAACCTCTTTTTTTCTAGCTCCTAAAATCCAAAAGAGCCAAACATTCAGTCTCTCCTATATTCCTATTTTATTACCATATTTTTAGGATTATAAAACGCACTGGAGTATAAGACGCACCAAGATTTTGAAGAGGTAAATTTTTTTAAAAAGTTTTTGAACTCCGCAGGCCTCCCGAACCCTCTGCAGGCCTCGGGTTCTTTTGTGAAAAACGGGGCATGCAGAGAGTTTGAGATGCCTGCAAAGTGCTTGGGGGTGTGTGTGTGTGGAAAAACGAGCAAAAAAAGGCCCGCTTTTCACAAAAACAGGCCCATTTTTTGAAAAAAAAGAGGGCATGCATAGGCTTTGGGAGGTTTGTAGAGTGCTCGGGGGGGGGGCAAAATGAGCAAAAAATGGCCCGTTTTTCGCTCGGTTTTGCCCTCCCCAGCCCCCAGGAGCACTCTACAAACCTCCCAAACCCTCTGCACATCCATTTTTGTGAAGTGGGTGGGGTTTCAGGAGGCCAAAAATGCTGTATTCAGTGTATAAGATGCACCCAGATTTTCAACCCCTTTTTGGGGGGGGGGAAAGGTGCATCTTATACCATGAAAAATATGGTAATCATTTTTATTTTAGTTGACTTTTCTCTTCAAAAGCATTATATACCTGCCCGTATTCATATCACAACAATCCTGCAAGATAATAAGATGAAGAGGCTATAATTGAGATCAAATGTGTGGCTGAAAGGATACCGTATTTGAATTACAGTACAGCCTAACTTTAAAATTTGAATCTTGCCTTGTTGAGCCCTGTTATCTTCTGTAGACAATGAACACAGGCAGATATATAATGCTTTTGGAGAGAAGTCAACTAGAATCAAAATAATTAACAAAATAGGAATGTAGGAGAGACTGAATGTCCAGGTCTCATTCTTGCATTAAGCCAGTGGTTCCCAAACTTGGCAACTTTAAGACTCGTGGACTTCAACTCCCAGAGTTCTCCAGCCAGAAGAGCTAGCTGGAGAATTCTGGGAGTTGAAGTCCACAAGTCTTAAAGTTGCCAAGTTTGGGAACCACTGCATTAAGCCATACTGGCTGGGGATTATAGGACCTGTTCAACACTTGTGGAGCAAACCAGGTGAAAGTATCTACGTGCAGGTACACTGTGCTCTCTTGATCAAAAGGCATTTAGAAAGGAGAGCTACGATTCTTAAGAATTGTGTTTCTCAATCTTGGGAATTTTAAAATCCCTGGACTTCAGTTCCTAGAATGGCTGGCTGGAGAATTCTGGGAGTTGAAGTCCACAAGTCTTAAAGTTGCCAAGTTTGGGAACCACTGCATTAAGCCATACTGGCTGGGGATTATAGGACCTGTTCAACACTTGTGGAGCAAACCAGGTGAAAGTATCTACGTGCAGGT